TGAAGCAAGGCTGTGTCTTAGCTCCTGCCCTGTTTAATATTTATCTTCATGCAATGATGTCTTGTGCTTTTGATGCGGCTTGTGCTTACGGTGTTCGTGTGGAGCACCATATTGATGGTGGGTTGCTGAACATCCGTCGTTACGGTGCGAGAACCCAAGTCTGTGAGACAACTATCTGTATGTTGTTGTTTGCTAACAACTGGGTGTTGTTTGCACACAGCGCGGATGAGTTGCATCACACGACTAGTGCTCTGGCTTCGACAGCGGCCAAATTCGGGCTCACCATCAACACAAGCTAAACTGTCTGTCTCTTTCAGCCTTCACCGGAGGTGCAATCTGCAATGGTGAAGCGAACCAGCATTAATGCTAAGCTTTGGAAACCATATCCCACTTCTGCTACAAAGGAGTGTGATGTCGACTGACGAGCAGCTACACAGTAAGCTTCGTATCCGTATCTCGAAGCGTGCTATCTCCACATTATGAGATCAAATCAGATCGAAACACGTCACGATTGTGTAGTGTTTTCGAGCGGGCGATAATCAAATGCTATCTACGTGCGTAACTTATTGCAACAACATTCCGAAAATAGGAAATGATGTGATAGTGGCCGAAACGTGGGGCGAAGTGGATGGTCACGAGAACGATAAACTGGGACCCAATTAGACGAAGACGAAACGTGCACGACTGGTACGGCTTAGCACACAATAGGAATACAGTGACTTACGGCATCTAAAAAGTAGATTGATCATCCGTGTGCTGAGTGGACAGCTCACGCCGAAGTCCAGTTTAACGACCAGCACCACTGTGTCAGGTAGTCAGCCAGGGAAGCATCAACCTAATATACCAATCTGAGAGTCCATCGGTGATGACAACGCGACTCAACGTAACCCTCGGTTCAGTAAACGTCAATCGGTTCAACTGGAGAACGAGCACGAACCAACTGGGTGAGGCTAAGGTCACAGGCGTTAACAATGGACAGCGGACGACAGCAGAATACCGTATGTAATGTATTAAAAACCACGATTCTCCTTAATAATGATTTCTGGTCGCTGCCCAGACTTTGTTCTTGATTGCTGGAGGACTACTCGACAGCTCGGAGATGGAGACAGCCGTTGCGTTTGGTAAGCATTGAAGTTATTCTGTTTGATACGAAAAACGGGTAGCAGTAAACATGGTGTTAGCGAGATATTCGACGAGAGTGGACAGCCGATTAAGTTTGTCAAAACGCTTGGAACGTTAGGCCGAACACTATGGAAGCAGGCCGGGTTTCGTCGAAATCGAGGCTGCACTGACCACGTCTTCACATTACGTCAGTTAGTGGAGCACCTCCATGTTTATTAGTGACCCAACGTAGTCGTGTTCCTAGACATCAAAGGAGCCTTTAATTCTGTTGATCGATGTGCCCTTTGGGACTGTCGAATGAAGAAAGGTGTGCCCGAAAAATAAGGACGCTGTACGCGCGAAGTTCGGGAAGAGTGAGAGCTTACGGCAAACTTTTCCTGCTCTTAAATATCTCCAACGGTGTGAAACTATGTTTCCCGCTGTCACATTTCCTCTTTAACTTCGCCACTGACGAAATCATGAAAACGGCGTTTGCTAGGCACGATTAAGGTGGAGAGTTGCTCCCAAGTGAAGGACTTCTGGACTTGGAGTATGCGAATGACATTGCGCTGATCTGTGACAGCTCCCAAACGTGTTGTTACACTGAATAAATTGGCCATGGCTGTCAGCCGTTTCGGGCTAAGCTTTGCTCCCTCGAAATGCAGTCATTCTGCAAAATTAGTAACTTGGTACTGACTATCTTGAAGTCGTCCAGAAATTTAAGTATCTGTCCAGCTATAGTAGCGCCCTCGAGATTGAAGAGGAGATTACGAACTGTATAACAAGAGCTCGAAGCGCTTTTGCCAATCTCCGCCAAATGGGACGACAGCGTGACATTAATCTCGCTCCGAAGGACAGAGTTTACAGTGCAGCCGTTCGTTCAACCAGCCTGTACGGTTGCGAGACTTGGCCCATACAGTCGACAGGCTTAAAAAGGTTTGTTACGTTCGATGATAGTTGCCTTCGGGGCACAGCTCATGTCTGGTGGGAACATCGAGTTCGGCGCCGCGTATTCGGTTCAGGAACAGCGAGTGAACCGCTCAGCGCCATTATATCATGCACCAGGTTCCGATGGTTAGGCAACGTGTTGCGCATGCCAGCACACAGACTCCCGCATCGTGTGTTGTTTGTGCATCCAGGGTCTAGATGTAAGAAGAGGGGAGGCCAAGCCATGACTTGGTCAAGAGTAATGAAGTCCCACACTTCGAATATGGCGCCGGTTGTTGTTTCTTGGCTGCCGGGCTGGGAACCGAAGGAAAATGAACACGTTTGGTTGGATATACGAGCTGACATAGCTAGAGGCCGACCTCAGTGGCGCTTGTGTTATGAGCCTCTTTGTCCACCCTCCGTCTCAGCTTCCCTCTCCAACAACGATCTCAAACCCTATGCATGTAATATTTAGCAATATGTTACGTTTTATACCTTTTTAGTTTATCGTTTAATCTCTTAGGCTTTTGCATTGCGGCGCATCAGCTGAAGTGTGTTGCCCAGCCTCAACTAACGTTTACTGATGATGTTACACTAAGTTTATTACTATCGGACAGTCCAAGTCATTCCACTCACGAATTGGACAACGGATGTCGTCTGCCAAAGCAACGAACAGAACACGGCCAATGAAAATAAAATCTGACCCATTAGAGTGGCAGACGTAAAGAGGCTAGTTACGTTTGATCACCGGTGCCTTCGAAGTTTGGCTCATATCTGATGGGAACATCGCGTGAACAATGTAAGTATTCGGCGCCTTGTTTATGGCACTGGAAGAGGAAGTGAACCGCGCAGCATTATTATTTCACGAATCGGACTCCGATGGCTAAGCCACGTGTTGCGTATGCCAGCACACCGACTTCCGCGATGTGTGTTGTTAACGCGCCGGGAGTGTAGATGGAAAAACTTGGAGAGATGCCAACCAACGACACGGTCAAAAGGAATGAAGGCCCTTAGTTCGAAATTGGCCTCGGTTAAAGCCCCTCGACTCCCTGGTTGAGGCCCAAAGGGCGATGAACACCCTTGAGTGAATACACTTGTTGACACGGCTAGGAGCCGACGTCAGCGACGTTTGTATTGTGGGTTGCTTTGTCTCTCCCCCTTCTGTTTAGTCTCCCCTCTAGTTGCGATCTCATTCGTGAAGCATAATATAACTTATCTGTGGCACGATAGCCTGCTGTTAGGTCTGGAACGATGTCCACCCGTTACTGGTGGCAGAGCTAGCGCGCCTATGCTGCATCTCTTTATTGCCTTTTCCTCGTGTATTGCAGCAATGGCTGTCTCCACCTCTAGCTAATATGTATAATGAATGATGAATGGTCAACACAATCCATTGGAACCGTTTAATTGTTAGAAAGACAAATTATAAAATGTACACTAGCAGACCTTCGAGAAATGAATACAGATTTTCGTACTTATATTCTTCCGATACCACCAGGCTTACCCGTTACCTTATTCGCAAAGCAACATCCTTTTGCGAGAGCATGTAACACCTGTAATACTCGTGATAGGAAACTGCGTGGGATCAAGCCGTAAAGACCAGGAACATACTAGTTATCTATTTATTTATTTGATGTGTCCAGCACCGTTTGACAGGTTCGTGAACTGGCACAGATTATGATGCGATCGTGGGTATAATTAAAGTGGACAAATCGACCGTCTGGAAGCAACTCCATACACTTTAAGTGGAGCCCAGTGAACGCGGTCTCTCTAACTTCGTCAGTGGCAGTTGGAAAGGAAAGATGAAATAAAAACAAAAAAGGGAGTAGAAAATACCAGTGTCTATGTGCTTTGGGCAGATATTGGTGATGTCCAGTTGCCGATTCCGAGAAAGAGCAGTGCTCGATAGGTCCCACCAATACTCAAGGTGTCAACATTTCGAGTCACATGGCAGTGGAATCAAGACCAACACAGGAATTTTGTGGTGGAGTCCCGTTAGGCAACAACTTGATGCCAGTAACACAGAATAGGGATATTAGGAACTAATTGCGACCGTGGCCAGTTGCAGGTGTGTTTACACTTTGAGGAACTCTTGAGAAAGACGGGTACTCTCCCATTATCAGAGACAACCCGTGGCACTCACGCTACACGCCAAACGACCTGCGCTTATAATCCGTAAACTATATCTACAAGCAAGCTCTTCTCAATTGTTAAATAAGATGGTTAATGTGCCGGTTCCTAGCCTAAATCTGACGGCGCGAGTTCCAGCCTGTAGGGGCAGAGAGACCCTCGCAGTATCCTTAGGGCATGTGTGACCGATGGTGGTTGCGAGGTAGGGAAGCGTCGGCACTACGTACCGACGCACTGCCGATGCCTTATATCTGACTGTTACCGAATGAATTATTTGGTGAGTAAAGCTGAATATATGGAAGGTGCCACTAGGTGTGACTTAATGGATCAGAAGCACACAAACAAGTGCGCAACGTTAATTCACAATATGGCTTCGATGGATTTAACTGCCTTTCCCGTGGTTAACACGGCGTATCGACGAGAGACAAGGCGATTATACTCATTGCACGACCTGCAGCCTTGAGGTAACGAGCTTGTAATCTTGCGATGCGGTTCGAATCCGCGTAGGGGTGGACGTTCTCGTGGTATATTCAGCCTGCGTGCGACAGTGGTAGTTGCACGGCAGCGAAGCGCCGTTACGGCGTACAGCTGAGATAGTATTATTAGGACGATCGTACTCATGGAACATATAGACAGCAGGTTGCGGGCAAACCTAAAAGGAGTAAAAGAGTTGGTCATTGTAAAATGGGCCGGTATTTGTAAGTATAGCGACAAGAGTGCAACATAAGAAAAAGGATAGGCTGGTCGGAGTTAAATTCTGCATCAAATACTTCATCATAGTTCAAGGGCTGTCCTATCATGACGTGGAAATAATGCATGAAAAAGTGAAACCTGATAAAACGTACACATTGGTAAAATTCTCGATATCGTCCACGAGTCATCGCCGGTTGGTCACGGCGATAGACTTTCCCAATTTGGTACCGCTTTATGGCCTTGAGTTTGTGCATTGCAACATAACGAGCAAACGGGACCTAAACAGAAAATGAGCCTAAGAAACAGTACGAACCGTAAGATCATATCTCAGAGAGAGGAGCTCACCCCCTTGATCTTTCAAGTCGTATATCAGTTTGGAATCTTCTCCATACTTGCCAGTGAGTACTTCCTGCCAGTCACTGAAGCAAAAAAACACTGGTACCTTCAGTTCAAAAACAGGAGTGTCGATCGTAACAGCATCGTGACGCTTAAAGCACTGTACAATGATTCCAAATACGTCCTCTAATATACGCATTTGAAATGGATTTCTATCGCGTGTCCCCTGTAAGTGACATATATAGGATAGATCCACGCCAACCTTTGGGACCTTTAGGGTTGTCTTCGCAATGTCGCCTTGGCCTACTGAAGCTTTAGAGAGCATTTTCACGATTTCCTCAGCCTAAATAGAAAAAGTGGATAGTCAAGTTAGATATCGGACCTTGCGAATTGTGACATATGTATAGGTTTTAGAAGTGTGTAGTATAGCTTTTAAAAGCATTTCACACCAAGAATTTTATAAAGCTACTTACAGTAATAAAAATTTTTGTGCATTAGTGACCTCACCTCCAGCTCCGAAGAATTGAGGGACGATGCTTGCAGCTGCATAGGCGAACACCTAAATGCAGACAAAAAATTTGACCTCGAACTGAACCGAAAGGTCAGGTCAGATTTTAATTCACAAACACTGTAGATGAGAAACAGCTAACATTTATGTCGTATGATAGTTTATAAACATGAGTCTCCAATCTACTTTATACAAGCGCCATGTGAAACAGTTGTGATTACAGTACATTTTATTTTTATCACCATCGTTACTGACTATTTTGTACTGTTTGTTTAAATTTACGAATTTCGAAATGACCTTTTCAACGCTCTCGCGTCGTGCTGGTTTGGTTCACAGCCGCTTAATCTTGCGCTGCCATGCTGACTGCAGTCGGATACATAACTACGAATTACCAGCCGACGTCTGACTAACGGGAACTGAAGGAAGATCTATACCGCGTGTGCTTGCTTGTTATTCTAATGAGTTTTGCCTAGGTTGTCTTTTGCTTCGGAACACAAACCCTTTGATAACGATCAACAGATTTATACCTTGCTAGCTCAGTCTGTAGCGCCCAAAAAGATAACTGCTCTTTCGTATACAATTTAATTGTTGGCCGATTGTACATTATTCCTTCTCGTTTTAATCTTCCTTACAACCGGACCAACACTCGACCGCTTTGTAAGTTCCCGCGCTAACCTGTACCTCAATCTTGCTTCATCCGTCCGCGTCTTCTTGTAACCCATCGAATACAGTCCGCGTTTCCGACTCCAATTGCCTTCTGATATCCGCGCTTCATTCTGCGCACCGTATCGGGCTGATATTAACTAGTCCTACGAGTCGGGAGCGCAGGTGCCCGACACTAGCCGATAAGCGGAGCTCGAGTAATGTTTATTATTTCATCCATATAAAAGCATTTCTTTTTAAAAGTGGCCGTGCATAGTAATACCACTCTTTATCCATTGCATAGATCTTAAATAGTGGCTCCGGAAATTTTCCTAACGCACTATGGTTGTGACCTTGTAACCCGTGATTCGCAGTAGGGAACAATTTCTTTTTCACCACCGCGTTTGCCATGACTGATAATCGGTCGAAAGCTCGAACAGGTTGCTTTAGGTTCACTGTACAATGCATGATACGAAAAAGTAATGAGGAGCTTAGGAACTTTAAACGCTCTTCTCGTGTGATTGAAGGTGAGTAAAAAGACTATATGATATTGCGTTAGCAACTTCATCATGCCGAAAAAGCTTGCAGCGTGATTTCAGTGTTGAATAGCGTGCCTATCCTAGCATAAGTTTCTCAGTATCCCAAGTTGAACATTCCCTTACGACTGGAATCATTACCTCAGCTCATGCAAGCATATGAAAGAAGGAAGAAACACGGTTAATTTTATTGGTAGTTTTTATCTGCCCGCGGTTTATGTAGCCAGCGTTCCACCAACTTCAGAGGATGGCACTTTCGAAGAAGGTTTTTGTGATGGCGCTTTGGATCCAACCTTGCAGCGGTGCAGATTAACACCTTAACACAGCTTTACAAGCGCGTACATCAGGGGTTGCCGGTTTCCTCGCTCATGCGTTGGCACACCCCTTGTGACTGTTCTGAAAGACTCACCCAGAGTGGACGGTACGTGAATCTTGAACTGCAAGCATCAATAAGACGCATTTTTAAGCCTGCTGGGCACCCTATATCGATATTGAAGAAACAGTTTCATGTCGATGGGTTGTCACTTTACCGCAGTTTCCGAATGCAACTCTGGCCGCTAATTGTCATACTGATGGAGCCGCATACAGACATATTTCTTATTTTCGTCCATAGCGAGTTAACCAATCCGGCAGACGTGCATGACTTCCTTCAGTCGATAATCAAGGAATTGAGGGTAGGAGTGCTGCTGCAAGCTCGTGGCGAACGCATCAAAGTAAGCCTCAAGTGTGTCGTCGCTGATGCGCCCGCAAGAGCCTACTTGAAGTAGCTTAACCAGCACTGGGATTACATTTTGTGCCAGAAATGTACTGCCGTCGGTAAGTGCCACTTCTGTAACATTATATACCGCTGTCGGTTTATATCTCGCTCATCGAATGACCTTTCCGTTATCCGCGGAGTATATACTGATGGCCCATGTCGATTTTCGTAACCGGCGCCAAAGCTGGCAGCATATCTGTGACCTTGACCGCGCGAAGTCTGAAATTGTTCGTTTTCGACTTTTTGTTGGTTATTCTGACGTTTTGTTACTATTCAGTGGAATAGTTAGACTACTTGTCTTGTCATACCATCTTGTTTCTAGGGAGAATTAACGTGGGCAACAGTGTTAGAGTAAACACTAATAACCGAACCTGACTTACCACTCTCCCGTCAGATCAAGTAAGGCAATGCGAACAAGGCTGTCTGTGCACAGACCTGCTAACAAATTGGCCAAATTAACTAAGCCACAACCTGATAATACTCACGCAGCCCCAACTTCTGACTGCAGAGTGGTCCTATCAGATCCACCGAAAGAGGCACATGATAAAATTAACTTTCTTGAGATCGAATTGGGCGCACTCAAAAGCAACATCTCTGTACTGAGCGAAACTACATCAAAAATGATGCCACTAGCTCAGCTCTCGGGAATCACACAGACCAATGATGTGAATGAGCTCAAACTAGCAAGGGAGCTACTTACACACGTTGCTAGCGAAGTTTCCGAACGAATTCGCCGTACAAATAACGTAATGATCTTCAATGTCCCCGACAAAATCAAATCAGCGAAGGTGAAGCGCTCGCTCACCAATCTCTGTAACATGACTCCCGACTAGTTCGAAATTAAGCGTTTACGAAAAACGCCCAAATGTAAATCGTGCCCTATACTTATCGCTTTTAGAGAACAAGTACTGGCCAAGAATTTAATAGCAAAACGAGTCGTTCTGCGAGAGTCAGCCAATTTGGGGCCCATCGTGATCAAACCGGACAAAACACCTCTGCAGAGAGCATTTGCCTCAACCACTAAACTTCCGCCTAGGCAAAGGGCGGAAGGTTCCCCCACCGCGACTGGACTTGCTACCTCACTCCCAGTAGACCTTGGTCTGTCACAACAGCACGTGGACCCAAACGTGAATAAGGCCTACAGCTCTGAACTAACTTCGTCCAGCAGAGTGAAGACGCTAGCCCTTTCGGTATTGCAACATGAAGCTGCTGTCGGTCAAGAGGCTGAGGTAGATAAACCGAACGATTCCGACATGTGTGACACTGATAACGAACCTCAGACAGATGAAGTTATCGTTAACCCATCCAATGAACCTATGACAAGCACTCCACTGACTATTAAGGAACTCTCACGCAACCGCCCAAAACGAAGGCGTATCAAAAAGCCTGCCTCTTGCAACTCCGACGTGCCGAGACACCAACCCGGAGAACGTCCAAAGAAAAACAGGCAACCCCCACCCTCCGCGCTACCTAACAAGTGTTCATCTCAGAACAGACAGATGGCACCTTTGAAGGCAATATCTAACAATTATGTACCACTGTTGGAGACCACGACTACCAACAAACAAATGCCGCCCCCCAGGAAGCAATACTTGCTTCCAACTCCAACTGCTCGCTATATAAAAGCCAAAGTCCTCAGCCACAGCCAGAAAATGCGCTACTCCCGCCCCGCTCCCGGTAGCGCTGACGCGAGCAACACTACTGCCCCACTTCACCGCCCTCAGCCCGACCATTCTTTTAACACTAGGTTGTCCAATACAACACGGTCCGCTGGTGAATCCACACCTTACTCCCTAAGGCCGCAATTTCCGCGATGCTATCAAGCGGACAGTAACTATAATCAACTGCAGGTACCCCGCTACAAACCTGCTTCTTATAGAACACTCCGCGAAATAACGAAACACAACACCCCACCCTCGCCTGCAAAGACTAACCACCCGCGCCCTATAAGCCCAATTATTACTGAACTGCCGAACACGTCAGTACGCATCCCCGCTCCTTTTTTATGGAACATGGCGGGCTACGGCCCGCCACAACCCACGAGACTGTTAGACGAGGCTGCCCTCTACCATCTTTACAGGCTCTTAAACATCCCACCGATGCCTTTGAGCAATCGCTGCCCACCCCTCCAACAACTCATGTAGTCGTCAGCTCATTAAAAGCTAATTCCAGAAATAGCATGTATTATCAGTCTCCATCTCCCCAGGAGAACATGCTCAAAAGTTCCCCGCTGCGCTACTCAACGGCCCCGGCTTAACTGCAACGCAAGTTTTTGCTTCCCCTGAGACACTTCCTGCCACACCTACGAGCTTGTCTTCCACGCATCCAACCGACGACCTAACCAGGAGACTCACCATTGCACGCAAACACGCCATCAACCGTCTCCGAGTCTTGGAATGCGATACAGACACCGCAGTAACCAACCCACAACTGGCAGAAATATGCCCCTCAGGACTGCACGCCCACTGTACTCCATCTTCCACTGCCTTCGTACTACATAACCCCGCCAATACCTTAGCCATCGCCAATAACCTTCCCCACACCCACAAACCTGTCTCCTCTGTTTCGTTTCAGCGTGGCAACCAAGCAGTCCCACTCCTTCAACCCGACCTGCTCTATGATGACGCGGACAGTAAGATTCTGTCTGACCTCTGCAACCTTATAACTCTTATCACTCCTTCTGAGACAACAGCAACTATGCCCACGCACACCACTCAGATTAATTCTGTCTCTGATAATGCAGCAGATGCTCACTTCTGCAATGAGGCACTCACTCTACTTCTCATTAACGCAAGGTCCATCAAACATAAGATGCACCTTATCAACCCTGTCATTATCCTATCCACCCCCCAGGTAGTGCTCATCACAGAAACGTGGCATGATGCTAACACTCCCGATGCTCATCTGCGAATCCCGGGCTACACCTCCTTCAGCAATGGACGTACCAACCACCGAGGTGGCGGATGCCTCATTTACGTGCGTGACGATTTCGGGGCGCCATCGTTTCAAGAACTTTCAATCGGCCCTCTGGAAGACTCGGTTTGGATTCAGACTAGTAGGGGGCAGCACGATATCTTAATTGGCTGTCTGTATAATCCTCCACATA